GATTGACATTGATAGATAGATAGATAGATAGATAGATAGATAGATAGATAGATGGTAAGTAGATAGGTAGGTGATAAATAGGTGATAGATAGATGGATGATAGATACATATAGATGATAGATAAATGATTGAAGTGTGAGAAGCTGACTCAGGGCAGAGACTGGTCCTTTCTGTTCAGACTCATGCTAGTTCTCACAAACTTCTGTTCTCAGGAATTCTCCAGGTTCATACTGACCCCCTGACTCTGTGAGAGGGACTGAGAGCAGCTTGCATGCTTTAGTGCCTTGGCATGCAAGATTTTCTTTGGTTAAAAAGGCTTTCACCCCAGGGGTCGGTCTCCTTGGGTTCCTGACAGGAGGACCTAATCTAAATTGATCATATGATGAACCTGTAAAAACAGGTGTGCTGTATTAATCAGAAAAACAGTTGGAGAGTTGCTCAGGACGCTAACCACAGCTGTCCACAGTGATGCTTTACCAAACTAACTGCCCGTTTTACCCTGTGTTTTCTCTTGCCCTCTTTGTTTACATTCTCCCTTGTCCTCATTTGGGGAGAGGGCACGTTTATGTTTTTTCCACAGAATGCTGATAATGCATGTTGGGTACCTAAACGCCTCATCTGCCTTGCAATATCTCCAGCACCTGTGTCATCACCAGCATAGCCGTCACCTCTACTACTGCCATTGCTGCTGAGATTGCCACTGTGCAGGAGTGGCTGAAGGCTATGCAGGGCACCTTTAGCCTCCTCGAGAACTGGGGGGGCATGGCTTTTTGGGGGTTCCTTTTGGTTGTGGCGTGTGGAGGTATGCTGTGGTGCATGACGCGCATCCGGCGGCAGACAGTGGCCCAACGGCAAATGCTCGTCCAAGCTATGGCAGCGCTGGAAGCAGGAGGATCTCCCTCCATTTGGCTAAATATGCTGGACCGGTAGTCAATGACGGGTAAGACCCTCTCATTCGCATACCAACCTAAGACAGACCGACAACCATGATGTTGCCGAGTTGATGACAGGTAAGGATGCTAAATGATCAGGCACGGTCCCTTGACCTCCCTTGGTTTTAATTAAACAAAAAGGGGGAGATGTGGGAAGATGGCGCCCTGGCTGGCTGCCAAGCCTCGTGCCCCTCACTTGTTAACTCCAACCTGCGCAAGCACAATAAGCCCGATCATGTGCTGCCTGCCTGATGATCTTACTACGTGGCGCAATAAGCTGCCACTCTGCCTGCCCGCTACGTGTGTGTGCCCTGATTGGTCCTGGCTGGGGGGAGGGCTGTTGGGAATGCTATATGAAGAGCTGAAGTGTGTAAGAGAGAGAGAGTGAGAAGAAGCCTGAACCTCACCTTGATGTCTATGTCGTCTTTCCTCGGCTCTGCTGGACGGAGTCGCGGTTTGCAGCATGCACCCTGCTGGGGAAACTCAGACAGAGACTGTGTGTGAAAGACATGTTCCTACAACTTTATTGTTCATGATTACAGTCTTTTATGTACTCGGAGAAAAGAAAGGGGTATGCCGATAGAATCAGTCTGCCCTGGAAGTCAGCAAACATTGGCTATATAAGATGGGAAAGGTGAAAGTTGCCTGCTTATGAAATAAATGTTCTGTGATTTGATTGGATGACTAAATCTGAAAGAAATCACATAGAACTTTTATTGTAAGCTTTATCCCTTGTATCTTAAAGTTTTGTCCCCCCTATATATGAAGACCAGTGTGGTCTACACAGGGTACTTTGATGGGGCATCCTTAAGTATTGAGAATAAATGTCATGTTTCTAGGGTGAAAGAATTTACTCTGCACTTCTGACAGTGGGGTCAGAGAGAGCCCTGCCCTCTGCTGCTTCCAGTGCACAGCCATATTCAGAAGTGTGTTCAGCGTGTAGACTTTTAACTAGTAACTGAAGGTAGCTTTTCCCAAGCCAGCATTTTGAACTGTTCCTTTGTTGGCTTTCTAGAAGCATAGGTAGGTAAGAGGTTGGCTTTGCTTTGGGCAATCTGGAGGAAGTAGGAAAAGCAATTGCTTCTCAGGCAAGTCAGTCTTCACAAGGATCTCTGGAAGTTGATTCCCTTCAGCCAGTGTCCTCTGTGTGTGGCCCCCAGACACTAGCATCCGTTTCTTCCCGCAGCTTGTTAAAAAATTCTTGGACCACATTCCAGACTCAGAGCTCTATAGGTGATTCTTTTATATAAACCTTGGTGACTTGAGACTATTTGTCCAGTATAATGTCCACATGATGTAATGACTATTCTTGTATAACAGTGAACATTTAATCCTTGCACATTTTGGAGACCCTTTATTTCTTTTTCTGAGCCAAGACCCTCAGGCCAGACTGAGCAGGACCATTTCCAGCATCCCTCAAGAGCTGACTTGTATGATTTGGACTGGGGCCCTTTAGAGGTGGCCTTAAGCTCTATGAGCAGCACCATCAGTCAGGGCCAAGGTCTGCAGAAAAAATGTTGGCCCTGGGCATTTGCCATTGTGGAGCTACCAGTCCAGAGGGGAGAAGGGGAGAAGTTCAATGCTATGTAGAAGAAAGACTGATTCATTTTCTCCCTCTCGTTCTTGCTCTCATTCTTTAACCTTTTAAAATTATTTTTCTTAAATTTTTTTCTTTTCATACATGTATATAATGAATTCTAATTATTCTCTCCCACACACCCTCTCATATCTCCCTCCCATCCCTAGTACAGCCCCCCTCCTCCTTACCAGTTCTTTTCTTAGAGTCATGACTTTTGGATTTAGTTTGGAACCCATTCAGTTTAAACCAGGGCCGTCAGTGTGACCATTAGATTGGAACTATCCATTGAAGCCTGGGGTGGTCATCAGCTGTAGGTACACAACTGAAGACAAAGACTCCCTCTCTCCCCTAATCTATCAGTGGTTAATAGTTTAGCAGTGAAGGGTAGGGCCCTCCAGAGTCCCTCCTCCATCTGAGCCTGACTCTTGATAGGTCCATTCTTACGCAAATCCAGTGCAGGCAACTGCACCCGCTGTGAGTTCCTGATTGCAGTGGCTGGGTCTTGCTCATTAGATGACATTCTGCAGCCCTTCTCCCTGTGTTCCAGTTCCTGCATTCCTTCTGCCCTCTCTTCCACAGTGTTCTCTAACTTTAGAAAGGGTAGTATAAAGGTCTTGTTTAGAGTGAGCACTCATCCGGAACTTATTCTTAGCACTTTGTTGCAGCTGTGAGTCTCTCCATTCACCACTGTTCACTGGAAAGAGAGGCTTCTCTAATTAAGATTGGGAGTAGCATTTGTCTGTAGGTATAAACATAAATACTTAGAGAAGGCAGTTTGATGCTATGTTAATTTAACTAAACAGCAATATTCAACTCCCCTTCACCCTTGGACTTTGATCTCCCTACCATGGGTTTTTTTTTTCTGTGTGTGTGTGGGGGTTCTGTTATTTATTTATTTATTTATTATTTTTATTTTATATGTGTGAGTATGTTGCCTGCCTGTAGGTTGATGTTATACAATGCCCACAGAGGTCAGAAGAAGGCATTGGACCCCCTGGAGCTGGAGTTATGGATGGTTGTTAGCTGCCATGTGGGAATTGTACTGGGAACTGAACCTGGGTCCTCTGCAAGAGCAACCAGTGAGTGCTCTTAACTGCTGAGCCATTTCTCCAGCCCCACTACCATGGATTTTTGACCAGGTTTATAGTACCCATCATGAATTCCCTCCTGTGGAATGGGTCTCAAATCCTGTCAGAGAGCAGTTGGTTACCCGTATAACAGCGGTGCTTCCATTGCACAAGTGAGCACATCTTACCTGGCAGGTTGGTCTCATAGTGCACAGGGTTCATGGTTGGCTAAGACTATTGATGCCTTTTCTTCTTCAGCAGCCTGAATAGCACCTTCATGTTCTCCCCCATACATAGATTTTAGCTTCAAATCTGTAATATTTTGTGTCCAACTTGGGGTTGCTATAGAAGCCAGGAAACTAGTTAAGAGGCCATTGGGAGGGGAGTCACTGAAGGGAGGAATGATAGTAGAACACAGGCAATATGAAAGTAGGGAGAGGGATTCTGGAAGTGGAAAGGTTTAAGCAGGGAGTGGCAGAAGAGAGGGAAGGGTTAACCAAAATGAAGGGGTATAAAACAGCCATATGGAAACCTACTATTTTGTAACCAAATTTAAAAATATAATTTATATGTATTCATATGTATTTTTAAAGACCAGAGATACCCTGTCTGGCTGAAAAAGCTGCCAGGGGTGGAATACCTGTTTATAAGTCATTGGTCAGGGATGTCCCAGAGGACCCCAAACAGTATAGGCCCTTGCCATTCCTCTTGGTTTGCTTATAGCTAGATGTTAAGACCCTATTGCTAAAGAGACCCTATACCTTGGTTGCATAATAGAGAGAAATCCAGCTGGAACTAACTTGAAAATGTCTTAACAGTACCAGAATCCTCCATCTTATCTGCTTTGATTTCTGAAGGATGCCTTACATTGGGCCCTTCATATTTCCAGATTCCCTTCCACTTCTGATCCTTTGACAATGCAGCTGTTTGGTCCTGTTAAACTACCTATCAAATCATGACACTGCTTAACTAAAAATTACGACACCTAGCCCTTGGTGCTGCGGGGAGAAGACAAAGAAGTCTGAAAGAAGTTTACTGCCCTGCCTTTAAGCTTGCACAGCCCTGCTGAGGGGCCCAGGAGGTTTGTTGTCGTCATGGACCCCTATGCCTACTGAGAGTTTATAATGAACACTGATGATGCTTTTACAATTGGCCTGTCCAGTCCTGTGCCCAGGCTATCATCCCACATGGACAGGGAACCTGTCCCTGGTCATTTGGGCAGAGGAGCTGTCCCTCCATCAGTGATTTTTTGTTAATCCTCTTCTTCCTGCCTGGTGAGAGTTCTTGCTCAGTTATGAGAGCACAACATGAGGCTGCTCATGGGCCTCACAGGGGCTTAGTCTCCTTTATTCTTTGAATGAAGTGTTTCTTCTTCTGGCTGACTCTTGCAAGTGTTCACTTACCTCATCTTTTACATTGCAGTTTGGGGCTGAATTCCGAAGGTTCTCCTTGGACCGTCATAAGCCTGGGAAGTTTGAAGATTTTTACCAGCTGGTTGTGCACACGCACCACATCGCTAATACTGAAGTGACCATTGGCTATGCTGATGTGCACGGGGACCTGCTGCCCATCAACAATGATGACAACTTCTGCAAGGCAGTCTCAAGTGCAAACCCCTTGCTCAGAGTCTTCATCCAGAAGCGAGGTATGAGGTTACTGAGTTGCTCTGCTCACTGAACTTAAGAACTATAATTTTGATTTTGTCTGTTGGTGTGGAACTATGAGATTCAGTTTGCTGGCCTGTAGTTGTAGGTTTTAAAAAGTAGTTTTCAGATCAGTATTAATATGTTAAAAAGGCTTAAAAGTAGCAATGTTTTTCCCACCTTAAATAACATTGACTTCTACCTTGTAAAGATGTAAGAAAAATAATACTAATACTTTTAATATTTTATGGAAGAAGAAATAATACTGATACTTTTAGTATTTTAATTGGAAGCAAATGAATTCAGTAACAAAGGCACTTGTATCTTAAGATACACTTGTATCTTAAGGCACTTGTATCTTAAGAATTGAACATGAGGGCCCTAGTATATATTTTCCACTTGGAAAAAATATTTGCTTTAACTTTGGTTAACTTTGCCTCCAAAATCCTAGCATTGTTCTAAGTAAACACAATACGAGTTTGTATTGAAATCAATTCCTAACAGGTAGATCTGTTGAAGGGGGTGGGGCCAGCTGTGAACTTAATGCTTCTCACCTCTCAAAAGTACATGTCAGATGGTTTTTACCTACAGCTAAGTTTGGGAGAAACTTGTTCTTTCAACCAGCTTCAGGTGAAGCCCAGAAGCAGGAAAAAGGACATTGTCATCATTGATTTATTAATGATTATTCCTCCTTCCTTGGACAGATCTACTTTATGCACTATGACCTCAAGTCTGTGTGTTGCAGGTAGGAATGCATCAGCCTCCCATGTAGCCTGGGTGGCTCCCCAGTGTATAGACTTGGGAAAAGCACTAACTTGTCCCTCCTTCCTGGAGTGGACCCAGTGCATACAGTGTGCACTGGCAGCCTCAGATGAAGGAGCCAGTGGAGACCCTTGCAGAACCACACTGCAGCCCACCATGTCTGCTGTTAAGGGTTTTATCATGTGTCTTTCCCAAGGACTTGGTTAGAGCTCCAAGGAGGGTGAGCCACCGTAGTGTGTTGAATTAGAGAACAGGAGAATGAAGGTATGGAAGTCAGCTGTGGGGTTCACAGCTGCAGGATAGGCCCTCTGTATCCTGTACCTTAGTGTCTTTGTTTGCAAATGGGAGTCCCAATCACACTACTCATCACAATACTGTGAAGTGACACACTTAGTATGCCAGCTGATAGTCTGTGACCTGTAAATATTAGCTCTTGTTATTCTTATTGTGGTGATGGGGACAGTAAGAGACACCTGACCTCACTTTAGTCCAGTTCTCTGGCACAAAATCAGAGCACTCAGTATCTGCATTCTAGTAGACCCCTCGTGTTCTTCTGATGGTGCTGAGAGGCCCATACAACTGTCCCTTCCTCATAGTGACTTGGAGATGTCAAGGATCAGGGCCCCTGTGGTCCCTGCATCTCTGTGTAGCCTCCAGTGCCCTCCTTCTCCCTTCTCTGCCTGTTGCCTTCTGTGGCAGCCACCAACTAGTCCTGGTGTAAACACCTGCATCCTACTGCCCTTGGTTGGAACTCTGCCCATCACATCACTGGGAAGTCTGTCTGTTGACACTCTGCCTTCTCAGAAAGGCTAGCTTCAATCTGCTCTAATTAGCTCACGTTTTCCTCTGCCCATCTGTCCTCTTATTCTGCTCTCTGGATATTATTAGTGGTTCTTGGAGTGGCCTCCTATCTATCTCCATCAGACTCCAAGGCCCATAGGGGCTGGTTCCTGGCCATGCCACAATGACCTCAGGTAATGGGGATAGGCAGAGGTTTGAAGTCTCTGGACAAATGGCATTTGTGCATGTGGGCTTTGTTTCTCATCATGAAGAATCCTAGCATTTTTATCCCCCTGGTTGTGAAGTTAGGGCCTTGAAGTCCCAGCAGAGGCTGGCCTAAATGTGGTATGATCCCTTACCATGGAATTGCTAAAGCTAGAGGGAAACAGGGACCTCAAGTCTGTGTGTTGCAGGTAGGAATGCATCAGCCTTCCATGTAGCCTGGGTGGCTCCCCAGTGTATAGACTGAAACCCAATACTCTTTCTGTATTACTTAGTTTTCCTTCTTCCTCTGCCTTCAAAGTAGCAATATGGCATTTACTAGACTGGCTTTTTCAGTGGGAAAAAGTATGTCAGTAACATCACTTACCCTTTTCTGTTATGTAAACTCAGGTTTTTATCCTCTCTGAGGTGGGAGAGTCATATCTGCCTCCTGGGTTATTATCAGATCCCATGTTCACAAGCTCTTGGCTGGGCCATGTGCACCATCCTGGCTCTTCATCACACCCCTGGGTAGCTCAGAGTCTTCTCTTTACCCTCCTCTTGGGGTTCTGACCCTAGTAACTGTGTGCAGAGGGAGAGTCTAGGCCTTTGGGTATCTGTAAACAGCTGGACATCTTTGTATACAGGAGATACTTGCTGATCTACTGTCCCATGTGATTGGGTCTGGAGAGGCCAGTCACTACTGTGCCATTCTTACAATGCTACCACAGCCCCACCTCATGTGTTACAGGTAGCTTTCTATACTGACACAGATTTTTTTAAATTATTTTTAATTATGTGTATATGTGTGTGTTTCTGCCTGTGGGTTTGTGCATGTAAGTGCAGTGCCTGTGGAAGCCAGAAGAGGGTATCTGATCCCCTAGAGCTAGAGTGACAGGTGGTTGTGAGCCACCGGACATGGGTGATAGGAATCAAACTCTGGTCCTCTTTAAGAACAGTATATGTTCTGAACTATTGAGCCATCTTTCTAGCCCCAACTGACACAGATTTTTAAGAGGAAATTATATTACTATCACTAATGAAAAGCACACATTCGTCACACATGTTGAAATAAACCCACAATTTTGCTTAAAACATTTAATCTGCCACTTAGAATATTTCTTCCCTCAAGCTACATAAGGACATGATAGTAAAACAAGAAACAAAGTATCTCTTTCAAGTATAGACCTATCACCCCAACAGACCCCAAGTGTGTGGACACATATCCACACAAATGTGCATGGCAGCAACATTCACAAGAGCCCAGGGACTGACAGACCTAACTACTCACTTGCCAATGAACAGATGACCAAGTGCATGCACATATTCATTCAAGGGAATGCTACCCAGCCATAAGAAAAAATGAAGTACTGCCAAGTATCAGCAGAGATCACAGACAGTATGCTGAGAGACACAAGGCCACTTATCATGATTCTTATTATTCAAGGGTTTTATAGTTGAAAATTTGTCTACTTGCTAAAATGTACTTGTAACCCCAAATCAATATTTACTGTGGTTTTCTGATCTTTTTTTTTAAGTGTATGAGTGTTTTGCCTGCACATATGTAAGTACACCTGTGCCATGCAATGCCTGTGGAGGCCAGAAGAGGGCATTGGATCCCCTGGAACTGGAGTTAAGGATTGTCGTTAGCTGCCATGTAGGTACTGGGAACCAAACCTGGGTCCTCTGCAAGAGCAGTCAGTGCTCTTAGCCATGAAGCCATCTCTTCAGCCCCATTTTCTAGTCTTTTGAGAACATGCATGGATTGATAGAAAATTAGAGTCATTTGACACATATGTTCATAGCTGAGCACAGTCAGGCTCGTGGTACCCTCTTGGCTTCTACCAGCAACCTTGTCACACTATTCAGTAACACAGTGTCACTTTTATGTTGTTTTGGGGGTTTGTTGTGTGTTGAAAGTGACTTCAAGCCTAGGGCTGAAGTGCTGCCCGATGTGCTCAGCTCAGGAGGCTGTGATGTACTTCGTGTGTGAATGCTGAAGAAGCTTCATTCAGGTATGTTGGGCCTGAGTTCAGTAGAAGCTAAATAAAGTGTCTTTAAACAGACACAAGCTAATATATTGAGTGGAAAATGTTATGACTTTCTTGTAATACCCTGACCATGTCTTTCTCCAGAAACCATGGCTCTGTATTCACTAATTAATTGTTTTCAGTGACTTTACAGAAAGTTAGAATTCCAAATGATGAGCGTTAGCTGTGTGTGAAAAGTCCAGGATGAGCATTTCTGTCATAGGGACAGAAAGTTGATTCAGGCTGAGAAGATGAGTCAATAAAATGCCTTCCACATAAGCATAAGGACTTGAGTTTGGATCCCCAGCACCCATATAAATTTTGGTGTGGCAGCATGTGCCTCTAACTCAAGTGCTAGGGTGAGGCAGAGATAGGTAAATCCCCGAAGCTCATTGGACAGCCCCCATAGCTAAATTGATGAGCTTCGGGTTCAGTGGGAGACACTGTCTCAAAAAATAATGGTAGGGGGCTAGAAAAATGGCTCAGTGGTTAAGAACACTGGCTTTTCTTACAGAAGACCCATGTTTGGTTCCCAGCACCCAGCATATGGCAATCCATAACTCTCTGTAACTCCAGTTCCAAGGGATCCAATGCCCTCTCTGGCCACTGCCTACATTGCATGACACAGATGCACTTACAAACACACAGGCAAAACACTCATGCACATAAAAAAAGTAAAAATTTTTTTAAACTTTCAAAAAATCAAGATAGTGATCAAGGAAAGACATCCAACATCAACCTTTGACCTGAGCATAAACATGTTCTTTTACCCACACACATATACAGACACACCTGCATGTACTCACATTAACAAGTACATACACCACATACACATACAACACACACACGCACACACACACACGCACACACACAATTTAAAAACAAAATTTTTAAAGTTGGTTCATAGGAGCCAGGTGTGGCGGCACATGCTTTTAATCCCAAAACTTGGGAGACGCAGACAGGCGGATCTCTGGGAGTTCCAGGCCAGCTGTGGGGCTACAGGGAGACCCTGTCTCAAAAAGATTAAAAAAAAAAAAGTTGGTTCATACTTTCCAGAGTGTGAGGAAAGATTGAAGGAACAGGACTTTTAAGGGTGGTAAAAATGTTCCAGAATTAGAAATCTCTGTGAATATGAAATTGTGTGCTTTGATAGTAAACGTCACACATTGTACTTCAGCAAAGCCAGGTACAAGGGCTTGCTCCTGGCAGCAGTCTCAATGTGCTCCTCT